ATCATTTTTTCGCGAAAAAATCATTTTTTTTCTTGCAAAAAAATCATTTTTTTTGTTTCTATAGCATGAGTTTAGTTAAATAGTGAATATGTTCTGTTTTTAATATGAAGGCCATATAAAAAATTAATAATCACTTTTTTGCCAAAGAAATCGGTTTTTACCAAAAAATTATACTCCTTCTGTCCCTTAAAACTTTGCCAACTTTCCTTTTTGGATGTCCAACTAACTTTGCCACTTTCCCTTTTAAGTAAAGAATTTGTGGTTCCAGTTAATTCTCTCTCCTCTGCACAAACTTCAACCACACAGTTTTTACTTTATTAATCCTCGTGCCGATCAAACTTGACAAAGTTTTAAGGGACGGAGGTAGTATATTTTTTTTGCAAAAAATGATTTTTTGTTTCAATAGCAGTTTGCGATGTAACTCATGTTATAGAAAATGTAACTCACTTTGATCAAAAATCTAACTTAGATGTATGCAAAATGTAACTTGTTAAGATAATTAAGTCTAAATGTAACTCGCGTATAGAAAGATGTAACTCATGCATAAAAAGATGTAACTCGCGTATAAGAAGATGCAACTCCATATATTATCAAATGTAAACAATAAAAACAAGGAGTCTAATTGCTTAAATTATTTACATAAATAGTTAATATGTTTTGTTTTTATATTATGCCCGTAAAAATGTTTCAAAGAAAAATAATTTTTTTTGCCAAGAATATTCATTTTTTTTGCCCAAAATCTTTTCTTTTTTCAAAAACAAAAAATTCATTTTTGTTTGCGAAAAATTGACTTTTTGGTTTCAATAGGTGGAGTTTATTTTGTGATGTAACTCGTGTTATAAAAAATGTAACTCATGTTGATGAAAAATATAAACTAAGTGTATAAAAAATGTAACTTGTTGAGGCAAATCTAAATGTAACTCGCGCATAAGAAGATATAACTCATGCACAACAAGATGTAACTCGCCTATAAGAAGATGTAACTTCATATACATAACTCACAAATATGAAAAATGTAACATAATTTCATGTTTTATGAAATTTAAATCGAAAAAATCAAATTTAATGTCTTAAAAAAGTTAAAAACATATCAAAGAGATAAGAAATATTTTTTTTTACAAAGAGATAAGAAATATATTATACAAAAAAATTTATGAACATGAAATATAAAAAATATTAAAGAGAAAATGATGGAGTAATGGGACTAGGCCCAAAGCCTAATCAGCCCAAGCCCCGAACTTGGACCCATGGATCCAAGTCCATAACCTGGAGCCTGCCTGCCAGCCCGGCGGGGAGCGTGCCAGTCCGGCCGACCTCCTAGCCCGGAAGAGTAACGGTCGAACAATTAATGTGCTATTAATTATGTATTTAATTCCGTATTAATGTTGTAATTAATTAGTCATTATTATCGGTAACGGTTACGATTTGTATACGCCTATAAAAGGCTGGTTGTAATTTAGATTAGGGGAAGCAACTTCTATACGCTATTTCTGGCAACTAAACACTTTTAGCTTCTTTCCTTATTTGCATTATTTTCCTGATTTCCTGCTTGAGTGTCGTACGTAGCTTTCCCAAAAGCCTACGAGCGTCCTATTTTGGACAAACATTGGTCCTTTCATTGAGAGCCTCTATTGATCTCTCACATCACTTTAGTAGGAAAAAATTCAAGAAATTCATCTCAATCCAAGGTGCTACAGTCCCACTTCCTCCTGTTCTCTTCACCAATCACAGTTGGATGTCGTGCGCCGACGTCGCTGTTGGTCTCCCTCATCGCCATGCCTATTCATGAGATAGGCCTTCAAATGGGCGCTCACCTAATTCCTATGGAACAAGAGTCTGCTCTGCGTTAAAGTGGATGGACCAAGATTACACTAAGACCAAATTTGATTCCCCTCAAGGATGATGGGCTGAATTTTCAACAACGCATTCGGGCCCGTTTGGCTCTAAAGCTACGTTTCCAAAAATCTTCTATATTTGATACAAACAAAAATCAAAAATCCAAACATTTTAAAAGATATTTTAAGTGGTTTAATTGCTTTTACTCTTGTTAAGCGTGTGTAATTTTAACATTGAAAAGCGGGCTTATGAAATCCGATCACTCACGTACACCGGGCGAGCACACACACTCGTACACTGGCCGAGCACACACACTCGTACACTGGCCGAGCACACACACTCGCGCCACCGGGTCACGTCATATGGGTGTGGCAATTAATAAGCTCCAATATAAATGTTAATACCGCACACTCTTGACTTCATACGAGTTCTTGCGTGCTCTTACCCTTTCCAAGTGCATCACACTCCGACCTCGGGGGACGAGTCACCCGTTCAAAAGTTTTTACTTGAGGGTTCGAACTACTAACCTCGGGCGGCGAGTTAAACTCTTATTAGGGGCCTAGAGCCACACTCTTCCGAGCAATTTTGTCACTTAATTGACATTCACATTTCTCGAAAAGGTTGATATACTTTAGTTCTTTGGGGTTGGATTATCCATTCGAGTGAGGAGTCCGACTCACTTACTCGAGGATTCAATCTTTCTTTCGGAGACTGGGTTGAGGCCTAACTTGGGAACTTGACGTCATTCTTTTCAAATAGTGAGTCCCACTCACTTACACACTGATCTGTGGTTCCACATCAGGCCAGATGCTCTATTCTACACTAGTTTCTTTTATGTGTAGGTTTAACTGAATGAAGTGGGGGACTGAGGGTCATACCGTCTTCAAGGAAGCAAATGACAAACCCGACGAGTCTGAGTCCGACGAGAAGAACAGTTCTAGCCATCCTATTCGCAGATGGCGATCATTGCAATAAAGGCTGGGGATCTCACCTCTTGCTTCATCTTGGGGGCGTCAGATGTACTCTTTTTCCCTTCATTGGGATTTTTTCCCATTGGGTTTTTTCCTAATGAAGGTTTTTAATGAGGCATCTCCCCAACATGGATAAGAGCGGGGATTTTCTAGTCTCGTAGAAGAGTAACTGACTTGGACTACTCCCTCTTAGCCGAGTCTACTACTCGACTAAGGGAGTGGGGGGACTCGTGATGGAGTAATGGGACTAGGCCCAAAGCCTAATCAGCCCAAGCCCCGAACTTGGACCCATGGATCCAAGTCCATAACCTGGAGCCTGCCTGCCAGCCCGGCGGGGAGCCTGCCAGTCTGGCCAACCTCCTAGCCCGGAAGAGTAACGGTCGAACAATTAATGTGCTATTAATTATGTATTTAATTCCGTATTAATGTTGTAATTAATTAGTCATTATTATCGGTAACGGTTACGATTTGTATACGCCTATAAAAGGCTGGTTGTAATTTAGATTAGGGGAAGCAACTTCTATACGCTATTTCTGGCAACTAAACACTTTTAGCTTCTTTCCTTATTTGCATTATTTTCCTGATTTCCTGCTTGAGTGTCGTACGTAGCTTTCCCAAAAGCCTACGAGCGTCCTATTTTGGACCAACAGAAAATATATTCTATTGTAATTTCAGTTGAAGATAAAAAAAAAGTAGAAAAAATGTATGATTATGAAATACAACGTACTTATTTTAATGTGGATTAATAAAAGTTTGTAATAATATGATAGCGAAAAATATAAATTCAATTGTGTTTAATTAGTTAAAGATAAAGATAAGTAAACTCACAAATAAATTTTTAGTATTTTTATGTAAAGGAGAAAAGAATTGAAGAAATAGAAAAGAAAAATAAAGAGAAAGAAACTAGTAACCTGGAGCAAAAAAGAAAGAAAACTTACGTAATACAGAGTATTCAATTGATGAGAGAGTGGGAAGACAAAAACGTTATCGTATGGGGATCGACACACCATGCGCATGGTGAGCCGATCCCACGGTATAATTTGCCCATGATGTTTTACAGATTGAGGATCTTATTAGTCTGAGATAGGGATGGACCCGGGTCGATCCCGGGCGGGCTTTTTTTGCAAAATGTTGGGCCTGGAACCGGCCCGGGTTGATACTGGGCCCGGGTTGATACCGGGTCCGGGCCTAACCGGGCCGGGCCGGGCCCGGGTCAAGTTCATTTTTTTTGGTTTCTAATTTACACCCGACCCCTCCCTTCACCCCCACCCCCCCAACCCCCACCCCCAAACACCCAACCCTAACCTAGAAAAGCAAAAAAAATTGAAAAAAAAAAATTGAACCGGGCCCGGCCCGAACCGCCCGGGCCGGTTCACCAAAAGTTGGGCCCGAGCCCACCCCGCCCGACCCGCTCAAACGGGCTAAAAGCCCGGAACCGGCCAACCGGTCCCGGTCCGGTCCGGACCCAAACAGTAACGGGCCGGGCCGGTTCCGGGTCGGGCCGGTTCCGGGTCGGGCTGGCCCGGTTTAGTCCATCCCTAGTCTGAGATATGGTGATTATGTTCCACTCGTCAGTCGTCATTTAAAATTGGGAAAAGGTGCAAATAAGCCCTCGAACTAACCGAAAAAGTGCAAATCACCCCTTTTATAGGAGACTCTCTTTGTCCGTCGACATTTGGGAAGGTTACCGGTGGAATTTTTTGATGATTCTTTTTTTAGAATCTTCATCTATAAGTCTAGTTTATTCATACCAAATTTCAGGTAAAAATTCAACTGGGAAGGCAACCAAATGATTTTCTGAAATATATTGCACTCTTTAAATGCACAGTTATCTTCAAACATTTATTTGACTGCCTTCATGATTGAATTTATAGCTGAAATTTGGTATGAGTAAACTAGACTTAATGAAAAAGATGCTCAAAAAATTTCATCAAAAAATGCCACCTGGAAGCGCCTAAAATAGCAACGGCCGGACAGAGTCTCCTATAAAAGAGGTGATTTGCACTTTTTCGGTTAGTTCGAGGGCTTATTTGCCCCTTTTCCCTTTAAAATATAAGCCTTTAAATGTATTGCCCATAATGTTTTGATATTTGTACTCTTTAATTCTAAAATAATCAATGTCTGGATGTGTTGCTTAACTACGACAATTATACTCCATTACTTATGAATCTTTAATGAAAAGGTAAAAATTATTGTTGAAATTTGAGTATATAAAACGAAATGTTGTAGATCATTTCTATGAACATGAGAGAAATGCGACACTTATTTTGAAACAACTCAAAAAACGTGCGGAAGGAGTACTACATATATCCACTAATAGCCGATATTTAAAACCTTTATTAGAATCAGCAAAAAGCTCACTCCACTATCTAACCTCAAATTTAACATTATTGGTAAATTTACAACACCTTACAACATCAGAAAGCAGCATTCATGGTGTACACTAAAAAGCAAAGAACATAAGAATATACTACACATTGGATGGGGCCCTATTCATTTAAGACCAAAACCATGTAGTCATCTGGTCTTCAATAGAATATCCCAAACCAGAAGCATTTGGTGGCATTTGCAGGCTATGATACTCTTCTTCCTCCTCTTCTTCCTCTTGGAGCTTTGGGAATAAGCTACGAGAAAAATCAGAGTCAAGAACATGTGACGAATCTGCTGGGAATGATGAATGGATCCCGTCAGTGTACACCGGGCTGTCGGAATCAAAAACATCACTTTTAGCTGAACTTGCAGCATCTTCTTGCTTGCACATCACTATTGGAGAACTTACCCCATTTTGGGAGTTTCTACTATGAATTTGCTCTTCCAGTTGGGCTTTTCTCCCATTTCTGTTCACCACTGGTTCTGATGTTTCTCGTTTTGCCTTCCCCTTCTCTTTACTCTCCATCTTTTCAGTCAACACTTGAACCTAAAAGTAGCAAATATTTGAAAACAAATATATTAATCACAAAGACTTCTTGTCATAATTTAAAGTGATTCTTAACTAGTTCTCCTTAATCTAAGAAAAACCAACAAACCCATATAAAAGATTCTTAAGTAGTTCTCCTTAATCCTTAATGTTATTTTAGTAGGATGATTTTCTTAACTCATCCAACCAACATCAGTTGAGTTTTAATATGGTTGCATTAATGAATCACTATTTGGCAGGGGATGTTAATTAACCACACACTAGTCCACTTGGTCTACTCTTTCAATCAGCTTGACTTTATTGAAAGAATGTTGGCATACTAAGTTCAAACGGACAATTAGTATATCAAGTTCAAACTAGTAATTCAATTCTGATAAGCCAAAAAGTGGCAATTCAGAACACTTGTCCAACTTTAATTAATACGTAGTATCTTAACTCAAACAAGCAACTCAATCCTGATAAGAATAAACAAAATGAGCAATTGAAAACACTTGTCTCAGCTTGAAGTATTATTAGAACAAGATTCATACCTCGTTTCTGAGTTTCTCATTTTCCAAAGAGAGGGAATCGAAATCAGCTTTGAGTTGATTGAAGCTAGTTTTCAAGGAATCATATTCCTTCTCAATGTGCTTCGTCTTGTAACGGGCACGTCGGTTTTGGAACCAGATTGCGACTTGTCTGGGATGGAGGCCAAGCTCTTTAGCCAATTGGACCTTTCTCTCAGGCTCAAGCCTGTTCTCCACCTCAAAACTTTGCTCAAGAAAATGCACCTGTTCCGGGCTGAGCCTACGTTTCTTCTCCGGTTGAAGAAAGCAACCCGTGTAGTCTTCATTGCTGTGTTCCATCTCCTGTGGCGAATCGTTGAAATTCACCATAGTCGCTGAAGCTGAAACATCAGGTGATACATTGAATATATATACAAAAATATATAAAATCAACATGCAATTGCTCCGCTTAATAGATTGACTAGCCTCCAATTTGCAACTACTTCCCCACATTATCTCAACTCCAAGTAAAATCAGGCAAAACTAAACCACTACAGCTAATGCATATTAAGTGTCTTATAGGTTGAAAAAAACATTTGCTACACGTGTAACTTCCAATTCAACTAACCCATTAACTTAAGTTGTAATACTAAAAGAAAAGAAGTCAAGTCTATATTTGGAGCTGGTGTGCTTGTTTTCAAGGCTTAAAAAGATTGAATTGCTAAGTTTGAACTTTCTCTTAGGTCTTATAAAAAAACAGGACTTTTGAGTTCTATCATCTAAAAGGTCATAGGAGTACTTGACCAAAGCTTTCATACGTTAGTATATGTTTTTATATTAGCTGAATAAGGAAAGGTTAATGCTTCACAAAATCTGCAAAAATATGATGCTATATTTGGTATAGAGACATATACAGAGATAAATGAGCAGGAAACATAGGATATACCACAAGCCAAAGAGAATAAACTCAAAATCTTGATACATAAAGGAAGCCCAAAGTTTTAAAAAAACATTTAACCCACAAAGGAAAAAAAGGAACAATAGAAAAGAAGAAGAATAGATTTTTAAAAGGGCAAAAACAAAGAAAAAGCAAAAAAAAAAAGAAGAAAAAGAAGAAAAAAGGATGAACCCCTTCCCAACAAGGCGTTATAATTTACTCCAAAGAGTTCAATCAGACTTTGATCGTAGTATAGTTTACTGTAGGGTTTCGACCACCTGATTACTCCTCAGCTTAATTGCCCAGAATTGAGCCCGAACACACGTCCTACAAGGGCAGGAATTGGCACAAAAGAAATTACCTTGAAAAGAGGGGTTAGAGTTGGGAACCCAGAAAGAATCAAGAACCCCAGAAGGAGAAGGAAATCTATCGCTTGGAAGAAGAAGACCTCTGTTGTTACTACTACTGCTACTCATTTTCCCACCCTCCATAGCTGAGCTCCCTTAAGCACCGACTCTTTTTTAAGGTTGAAGACGAAATCAAAACAAAGATCTGATTTTTGCAGAGGAAATTGAGCTCAAAAGATATACGGGCAGAAACCGGAGAGTAAGAAGCTGCTGTAATGTGAAATAAGTATGGATGAAGCCCATAAATCAGCAGAAGAAAAAGAGAGAGGAGGGAGAAAAAGAAGCGATAAGCACTTAGGAAGGGATAGAGAGAGAGACGTGGGAAGGAGAAGTTGATTGGGATTATAAACAAGCGGATAGATAGATAGATTAGCTTGAAGAAGCAATGGGGGAGCTTTCTTCCCCGATTGGAAGACGGGCTGGTTGAAGTTCCAGAACTGCCCTTCCCCTTTCTAGTTTCTACCTTCTAAATTCGAACTTGGACAAAAATACTGGTTGGTTCCGTGTTTCTTTTCTTTCCATTGTCATTTCTATGTTACTTTATTGAAATACTTCTTAATATAGAGAAGATAAAGATAGACGAATTATCATTTCGAGACTCGAAATATGAAATGTGTCGATATATGATAAGGATGATGGGAAACTATCAATCTAGGATCTAACTTTATTAAAATTTGAAAGATTTTGATTTATTTAATTTTTTTATTAATTCCATTGCTAATTTTTGATAAACTTTTCTTCACAAAAGTTTATTAGTTTAATAAAAATAAATAATATTTAAAAACTTTAAAATAAAAAATAAAATAAAATTCATGACAACTTAGGTCCTAAATTGATAGTTTTCAATCATTCGGGTCCTAAATTGATAGTTTTCTATAAGTCGGGTCCTATATCGATACAATTCATCTTTCAGATCCCGGATTGATAATTTATCTATCTTTCAGGTCCTGGATCGATAAAATTGCTAATATCTAATAACCCTAAAGATATAATGTGGACGAAAATGGGGTTTTCTTGTAAAAACAAAAATGTGGATTTAATAATGTTCGAAAGAATGACATAAATATTACTTACTAATATGATTGAATTTCATTTGAACAAAAAAGTAATTGCAAATGTTTGTTATAATCTATTTCGTTGCTAATCCCTAATCTCCCCTTCCATTCTTTCGTTGTTGTGCTTGAAGATCAAGAGACTCTTAGGGACGGAGGAGACGAGCACCGTAGGGACGGAGTAGACATGCATATCACACGGAAGGACCGAAGATGAAGCACCGTGGCTTCCTCCGCTGCCTTGGCCGTCTCCATCCCCCTCCGCACACAGAGGAGACAGATCGTCACCACCGCCCTCGCCATGGTCTTCGCCCTACGCATTTCTTCCTTTTTCTTCTTGTTTCTTTCGGTGCCGTTGAACTTCTCCAAATCAAGCGTCGATCTAACGACGATGATTGTGAAGGTGGCGACTAGGGTTTGGCGATAGCTAAGGTTGACGGCGATGAGGGGGAAATAGTGGGTTGTGTCGGGGCTAGATTGGAGTTGGGAAGGGTGGAGCAGGGTGATGGGTTGGGTTGGTTGGAGTAGGGTAGGGTGGCTGAGGCGGGTTAGGATAGGGGAAGGGCTGTGAGGATGGGGAGAGGTAGGGGTAGGGGCATGAGGTGGTTTGGCAGTGTCAGTTGTATGACGATGTCGGTAGGCGATGGTATCGGCAGGCGGCGATATCGGTAGGTGGCGGTGTCTATGGGCAGATTTGGTTGAAAATATGTTGTACTGGTAACTGGTGATCACTTGTCAACCGTTGAGCTCATTGTTTTTCCAAAAAATGCCGTTAGAAAATACCCGGTGATTACAGTGACACATTTGACAGTGACAGTGACATCCGTAAGTGGCATGAAAACATCTCAGTGAAAACTCTTACTGAGATGAAAAAAATCACAGTGACATAAAAAATTTACAATGACAACATATTTTTCCAAATATATGACTTTATTAATCACATTTTTGGCAATATTTAAAAGTAGCAACATTTATGTAAATTGGCTTAAATTTAGTACAGAGTAATGTTTATTGGAAAATCCCAGACCATAGTAACGATAAAAGTAGGCAAATTATACCGTGCAACCGGCGCACCATGAGGATGGTGCGCCCGGTTGCAAAACGACGCAGCTTTCCTATTTTTTTTTGCTTTTGTTGTTTAAAAATGATGATAACTTTCTTATTTTTTATCCGATTTTTATAAAATTTATATCAACATTTTTCATTTTTCATGATCTTTCAAATGAGACCAATATTGCTTATGTAATGTTAAGAAATTATCGAACTATTATATTAATGAGTATTGGATTATAAGGAAAATCGAATCTGTTTGGGAGATATAGGTTTGTGAAATAGAAGATTGAATCTGTTTGGGAGTGGATCAGTGGTCTCAGTTACATTTGATAATACATTGAGTTACATCTTTTTATGAACGAGTTACATCTTTTTATAAGCAAGTTACATCTTTTTATAAGCAAGTTACATCTTTTTATAAGCAAGTTACATATATATAAACACGAGTTACATTTGACATGCCTGAACGCGACTTACATATATTTACACGTAAAGTTACATATTTTTACACGTAAAGTTACATATTTCTACACGCGAGTTACATATTTATACACACGAGTTGCATTTGACCTGTCTGAACGCGAGTTACATATTTTTTATGTAAAGTTACATATTATTACACATAGAGATACATATTTATACACACGAGTTGCATTTGGCCTGACTGAACGTGAGTTACATATTTTAACACGTAAAGTTACATATTTTACACGCAAATGTTAATATGTTAAAATTTCATAGACAATATTGGTCTCATTTGAAAGATCATGAAAAATAAAAAATGTTGATATAAATTTTATAAAAATCGGATCAAAAATATAAAAGTTATTACCATTTTTTAAAAACAAAAGGAAAAAAAAATATAAATCCGTATCGGTATACTGTCCTCACCGTATACCGGTCGTACGGTATATGTACTCATAAAAGTATGTTTATAATAGTTTTAATCATATTTTTTATGAGAAATGGTTTTTAAAATATATTGATAAAAGTATGATTTAAATTATAAATCTTACGGAGTATATTTTATAAAAATGAACAACCGTGGCTCCGTTTGATAAACAAAGGCTTTTTCCTTCAATGTTATAAAATTGAAGCTATTTTTTTATTAAAAAAGACCATTTTTTTAAAAGGATAAAAATGTGACTAAGAAGGTCACATATTTGGAAAAAGCCTTTTTATATCGCTGTCAGATTTTATGTCACTATTATATGTAACTATCACATTTTCATGTCACTTTTGAATGTCACTACCGCCAACGCGGTGTCACTGATGCCACTGTCATGTCAATGACGGGGTGTCACTTTGATCGCCGAGAAAAATCGTAAATTTCAACCAAATCTGACCGCCACCCCGCCTGCACCGCCAGAACACCACCGCTCCCTTCCATTGACCGAACACGCCCGTCAGTGACCACCATGCATCATCACTCCCATCCCCACACCATCGTCACTGTCCCACCCCCACGCGCCGTCACTGCACCGCCGCAAACACCATCCCATCCGGTGGGTGAAGCCGCCGGCCGAACCTCATCCTGCCCCAAACAACCCCCCACCAGCTCCCATCGATGCCCATCACGACCCATCTGCCCCAAATCTTACCATAGTCGTTATCGCCATGGATCTAAATTCGGATCTAAGCTTGACCAAAATCCCCGCGCCGCCACTCTGCAGCCGTAGAACCACCGTCTTTGACAAGGTGACACCGGACAAAAAGAGAAGAAATAGAAGCCAGGTAGGGTGACGCCAAGGGCCAGGGCGACGACGAAGATCAAGGAAGCAGCGTGACATAAAAGATGATGAAGACGGGGACAGAGATGGCTAAGGAAGCGGAGGAGGTGACGGTGGGGGAGTGGAGGCAGCGACGATTTGCTGCTGGGTGACATGATGTAAATGTGAGTGCTCGGTGTAGTAGATCGATGGCCATCTCTATGCTCTCTAGATATGTGCAGTGGAAAGAAAGACGGTGCGAGGTTCCAGACCTGCGATGCGAAGAAGTCTCCAGATGGGGTCCGTATCCCGGACAGCGGATCAGCCTCACCTTGATAAAGGCAACGGGGAGCTACATGAGGACGACGCACGTCGCCACATCAACACGGCCCATGCAGCCCTCTTCAGGACTCGACAGGGCGCCACTACGGCCGCCAAGGATCCTAGGGATGATGTCATCGCTTGACTTGAAAAGAGGCTTGCCCAAATGGAGGCAAGGCAACTGGCCGGTAATCCCTCGGCCACCACCTCACAGAACCCTGGATACAACGCACTCTTGCACAAGGTTAGCGCCTTGGAGAGGGAGCTGGTCGAGGGATGTGGTGACCCCATCATCCAAATCAGAATTAAAACTCCCTTCACCGCAAGGGTGCTCTCGGCCCCAATACCCGAGAAGTACTAGGGGAATGCCATCAAGCCCTATTGTTAGGAATAAATGTATTTAGATTTTGATGATGCTAGATTAATTAGAGCATTAGAGTACCCCCTCATTAGAATTTTTTACTAGAATTGTTTTCTAAGTATAAGCACTTTAGATTAGTCGACTGGACAGAAGACCCCCAGGTCCTTTGTCCGCCTCTTTCCTGACAAAAGTGCTTGAGGCCCTCTTTGATTGCCCCTCTGTTCAAGCGCACCAGAAGTCCTCACACTTGGACATTTCTCAAGCTACCTAAGCCGGTAAATCTAACGAGATATTCCCTAATGGATAGGAGCTCCTCAACGGAAAAGCTAAAGGACATAGCATTTAATGCTCATTTAGTGAGCTCCATTCCCTGGGATATTAAAGTTGATGATTGACCAAAATTCCTGGAGAATATCTTCCCAATATAGCAAGTCATCAGTCTTGTGGGTCCAACCGGTTAAATCTACAGTACGCACATTTAATGCGGTTGTCTCCCTCCTCCAACGGAAGACAACCCTAGTATATATGATACAACACGAAGAAAAATCGGATAACTTTTGCTCTCTCTACTACATTACAAACAAGCTTTCTTGAAACCTCAACTTCATCTTCCTCAACAAGAAAAGCCTTATGTTGGAAAGATAATATTTTCACATCTTCAGATTCCACAAAGAGCAAAGTTCTACCAGTTCTTCAACACTTCAAACACCTCATCTACACATCTTTTGTGATGAAGCAGGTTGGAGAAACCTCTGTTTTTACAAAGCAATCCTCTTATCAAAGAAGGACGTCCAAAGTAACTGGAGTGGTGAAGTGGGGATACTTCAAGAAAACTCAGTGAAACGA